GGGGAGAGGGATAGGATACCGCCATGTCCAATCCATGTTACACAACCATCCAGGGAAGCGGACGTGACCACTTGTGCCACATTTCGTGGTTATTCTATTCTTTAATTCTGAACCTTAGACATAATCTTAGCTTCTTCTGTATGTAATGTGTAACAAATATATAATTATATAGGATTGTACAAAAAAAAAAAAGCAGGATTTCATACATCCTTCAGCTCAATGCAACTAAGATATAAAAATTCGAAAAATAGAATAGAATAGAAAATAATTTTATTCTGGGACGAAATCAGAAAAAGAATAACAAAAAAGTACGAAATTAAAATATTATATCTGACCTAAATAAAAACAAACGTAAAAAGTAAAAATAAAGAGAAATAAGTAAAGAAAATATTAGTTAAACATACTCTGTACAAAATAAAAAAATCTATATACAAAACACTTGAAATCATGCCAAGACACTAAAAACTATGTACAGTGGTAAAACATAAATATAAACTTTTAGAAAAAATAAATAAAAATACATTACATTCTTCTTAGCAACAAACTCTGTGTTTCTGTAGAGAAAAAATAAGACGAATCTAATAGTAAGTATTTAAATGATGAACTATATGTAAATATATCATTATGTGAATTATTTTGAATAATATGTAATTTTACATAAAAGGTTAGCGGGGGGTATCTGACTTTATCTGTTTTTGGGACAGAAATTGGAATATGAGGGTTTTAAATGTAGATAGAGAGGGAGAATGTCGTATAGAATGGGAGAATGCCGAATAGGAAGGGAATTCCAGAAATTAACAGAGCGAGCAATAAAGGAGTTTTGGAACGAGACAGATCTGTGAGAAGGAATGTAAAGGTCGGAAGAACGAGTTCTTGTGGAAAGGTAGTGGACTGAGGACTTGAATTGGAGAAGGTTATAGGCGTAAGAAGGACGATGATTGTTGATGAAAGTACCTAGGAAATATTGTCTTCGAATGGAGGGGAAGAGCTATTTTAACTCAGTGTAGTGATGAGAGACATGGGAGTATCTCGAGGCACCAGTTATAAATCTTACATAGCTGTTTCTAAGTATTTTCAGTCACGGAGCTCCACCGAGAGTCCATCATACACCACACAGCTGTAGTCAAAGTAGGGGAAGATGAGAGGGAGTCGACGCGTATGTTGATGTAGGAGATGGCGGAATCGATGGAATAGTTTGAGGGTAGAAATTGTCCGTCGGGAGATGTGAGAAGTATGGTGATTCAGAAGAGGGTTTCATCAATGAAAAATCCTAAATTTTTGACACAGGAATAGAAGGAGATTGGCTGGTCATCAAGGTGTAGTATGGGAAAGTCGGAATAGGATCTAAGGAAAGGCTGGGAACAAATGACAGTTTGTTGCTGAGTTTTAGCAGCATTTAACCTTAATATGTTTTATTTTGCCCAGGCACTGATTCGTTCTAGATCTTCTTGGATCTTAGTAAATGCTACCAATAGCTTAGAGAGAGAAAAGGATCGATATATTTGAGAATCGTCTTAATAAATAGGAACCCATTAGTGTATTAAACGACAGCAAAAAAAATCTTCGTTATGAATTTTGGACTGCTTTGCTGAAACAGACACAACCCTCACCCCCACTACCCTACAGACCTCTTGCTTATCTATTATTATTTTTATACATTTGGCCACTTTTTAAAAAGTAAAAATTTAATTGACCGAAACCTCTCAGCATTTGTTGTATTTTTTTTTTTGGTTTTTTATTTTAATTTTTATGGAAATTATGTTTATACTAACCGTGTCCATAAAAATTCGTTTAACATTTGGCGAATCATTAGATCAATATTTGACAAAAGGTACGTAGAGCCGGCTTTAGCAGGTTTGTCAAAGGTAATGATGTACTGTTCCAGTTATCATAAGTGTAATTGTTTCAATGTTGTAATCGAAGTGAAACTTGTTGCGTCATTGGCCACTATTGGTCAAGAAGCCTACCGCTACTTGCGAAATATAGTCCGGTATCTTAAAAATGTTTTTAAAACCTACATTAATATATCCCCACCTTTGGAGAAATATTGAGACGCTTTGAACCCCTGAATTGTTTAGTTTTTAATTTTTAAAATAATATCTTTCAAATGACAGTAACATAGTGAACGCCAAACTAAAATATTTCATCCCTATCTTTAATTAATACTTATATTTTCTATTGACATTTATTGATGAGTTTAGATTTTGGTTTATTACTTTCAGTAAAAAACTTTGGTAGTAAAAAAAAGAGTAAAATAAAATATAAGCTCTCTCTTCAAAATTTGTATCAAGGGGCAATTAAAATCTCATAATTAAATTTTTAAAATCTGTTACTTTTCTTCGATTATTTTTTTATTTGACAAAAAAATCATAAAAATCACCTCTATTCCGAAATCGAAATTATCATTCACTACAGCGTTTAAGATGTCGGCCGACAGTGAAGGTTTGAAAGCCCCATATCTCGGCCTTTTATAATGATAAGAGGAAAAATATAAATTTCACGTAGATGCAATAGAATTATTACACCATCGTTTATAATTTCCTAAAATCAATGTGTAATAATATAATTTTATATAATAAACTTTTGTATTTAACCAAGAGAAACAATGTGGCCTCGCTCCATTCGAAGTTTCAGTTTTAAGTTTCAAGATACGTTGATTCCAAAAATCGAATAAAAATAATTTATTGAAGAGAAGAGTGGTTAGGGAGATCAGTCAAAATAAATAATATTTATTTTTAAATTTGTCGACGTTTTGGCCTGAAGTTCAAGCCTTCATTGGGGCTGAGATAAGAACCAGATAACAATAGGTATGAGAAACTATAAACACTGAATAATAAAGAATTAAAATTAAAAATAATTAATTAATTTGTACTATCTCCAGATTATTTCCATCCTCTTTAAATTAAACTTGTATTTAATAATTCATAGAATTTATCTATAATATATCTTTCGTCCATTATATACGTTTCCTGTGCTGTAGTTCACATTTTTCAGTCAACCGTTTCAGACACAACAGCTCTCCGCTCTCTTGTTACTATACTTCTATCTCTCCAAGGCTTTGGTTAGATCAGGTTCGTTTAAAAATAATCAATATTTTTTCAGATTTTGCTTAGTCATAGGTCATCCCTAGATTATCCGGTCAAATGTAGGTCAAAATAAAGAAAGAAATGTTTGAAGGGTTGGCTATAAAAAGGATGCAATTCTAACGAAAGAATTTCTTGCCTCTAAATACTATGTGAAGGTACAATACGGAAAGAGGTGGGTGGCAGATATAAGAAAAAAATTAAAATAGTGGAAACTATTTTATCAAGTCATCATATAGACTCAACGATGCAGGTCTTCATCAGAACAAGACACAGGAACGAATAAGATACAAAGGCTATAAAAAAACTGGAAGATATTCGGATAAGAAATAAAGAAAATTATTAACAGCGTCAATAAAAGGTATTGTATTTGTTTAAAGAGTTTATTGAGTATTAATACAATCTGCCACATTGAAAGGTATTAAGTATTAGGAATACAATATTCATTGACACAATATTTACATACGAACATAAAATAAAAATAAAGTAAATAAGATAAAGAGAATTAATATACATATATACAAGATAAATAAAATAATATATTGAAGCTGAATGATAATAAAATAAAAAGACACATTCACACCTAAATAAAAGGTAGTAAGAACATTCAATTGGTTTTATATTCCAATGTTCTTAATACTTTTTATTTACTCTGTATATCTTTTAATGTTCTTAATACATTTAATTGACTCTGTTGATAATATTCTTAATTTTTTATCTAAATATCTTGTAATTCCTACAGTTTCTGTAACCTTTTTATTATCTTGTTCGTTCTAGCACTAATAAAGAACTGCATGGTTGTGTCGAAACGATGACATTAATAAAGCAGTTTTCATTGCTTTCAATTTTTGTTTTTGTTTTTTTACCGCCATCTCTTTCCTCAATATACTACTGTCAACCTTTGAGTATTCGAATGTTATAATAATATATCTTGATTCCTCTGGATGAAGTTACTTCCTTTTTACAGCAAATCTTTCAATTATTTGAATTTATAAATAATTATCGGTATATTTAGATGTGCTCTGACAGGCAAAAAATTCCACCCACTAGATTTTCCCATGTTTTCATCTAAACATATTTCTGTAACGTTGTATTTGTATATAATACATGGTATTATTTGTAGATAATACTTAGTATTTATGGAATTTTATAATCTTTTTTACCTTTAATAATCAAAATGTGATTGCGTAAGAAAGATTAGAGAAAAAAAAATTGAAAAACGAACCATTAATCCATACTCATTTAATCTTCTCCGAGTGGTACGTTCAGAAATTTGTACACCTCGAACTTCTTCGAGCTGATGAATCGCTTGAACAACGGTAAGGTGCCGGTTTCGTAAAATTCTCAAAGTCAAAAATCGGTCATCAAGTGGTTCTGTTACCCTAGGCCGTCCAGAACCGGGCCTTCTATTGTATGAACCAGTGTCCCGAAAACGCCTGACGGCGTCTCGTAAAGTTTCATATGGAATTCCGATGGCATTAGCTGAATATCTAATGGAACGTCCATCATCAATAAGTGACACACCACACGCAACATCCTCAGTAATAAGAGGCATTTTTAAACAATATTGAAAAAATTAAAAGCCAGATACTAAGAAATGTGCTGCAAGAAACGGCACTGAACTAATGATACTGAATAAACATTTTGATTCCATAGAAAGTAAACATTGGAATCTAGAATCATTTCATTGAATTAAGGATTAAGGGTTATTGTCCTATATATTAACATTCCTAATTGAAAACAAACAAAAAGATTACCTATTTATTCATTAAAAACAATAGACCAATCCAAAGCAGAAATATTTTTATATGAAAACATGACAAAATCAAGTGGGTGGAATTTTTTGCCTGTCAGTGTATAATCAGTATATAACATATTTTAATGGTGAAATTTAAATAAATGACTCTTTATTTTCAGGAACCACAATCAGTGGAGCCAGCAACCGTTGTGCGAGAAAAAAGGACGATTGGAATTTTAAGAGATCTGTTCCCCAACTTTTCACAGGTCTGAAAAATTGTTTACTAATTTTTAAAGTTCTTTCCTATTATTAGAAATTTAACTTTTAAAATTATAAATTTGTCTAGGTTCTATGAATCTGGAAGGCTTATATTTTTTTATACTTTTCTATTTAATTTGTTGTAATATCCTTTACTAAATATTAATATCATTATTAAAATAGGTTTTCATAATTCAAATTTTGTAAAATATCTAAGATATTAACCTTTAGAAGCATAAGAATTGTTTCTAATGTATTTACCGCTACCATTATGGCAACCAGGTATTTACAGTGGTAGAGCTTAAATCCATATCAAACGTAACTTATTAAGTCGTTTATTCAAGGCGACAACTGACAATCGCTCCACTCCATCGTTCCATATTTTACTAACAGGAGTGCGTAGGTTATAATATTTACTGTCTACAAATATTTTAAATAATAGATTAATATAACTCTCGAGAATCAATGGTATATAAATAATGCCCCTCCAATAGTAACAGCATTATTTAATTTAACCTGTATACCCCTAAAAAAAAAAGATTCAAATAAATAGAATCTTAATATATATATTTCTCAAAAGTGTTTTTTTTTTCGGTTATTTTCATTTATTATTCATCAAGTCCAAAGACTGAGCCATCGTTTTGAAGATTTCCTTCATGTACAAAAATAATCAAAAAAATCAGAAACAAATGTTATGAAAAATGTAAACAATTTTTGGTGGATTATACCTATATTATAAAATTATGAGAGGATATGACCAACTATCGAATTATTTTCTGAATGAAAAAAAAAAACATCCAAATCAGACCATTTTTAGCAAAGATACAGCCAACTGTAATTTCTACAGATTTTTTTTTAATGTTCTTTTTTGGCTTTAAGACTTGTACAAGCAAGTCCTATTTTGCCAGTAAAATATTTTAATTATCATAGTAAGATGAAATTACACTGAATATTTATTAATTATTTATAGATAGATGATCACTGAATATAACTAAATAGTGAATGTAACTTATATAGAACTTAAACTAGAAAGACTAATAGTTTAATGTTATGAATGAAGATTAATTCCTTAAATTAATTAAAGAGGTGCTTCTGGGTACAATTCTCCCTCATGCCTAATATGCAATTTTTTTATCAATAACACATCTGCTTATTGTAGTTTATGACATGGATGAAGAAATGGATAAAAAAAAAAATCCTCTCTTTAATGATAAATTCATTCCATTTTGGCGTGGAGCGATTGGAGTAGAGTGATAGTCAGAGCAAATTTATAGTAAAAAGATGATTCAATCAATTTTTATTTAAGTCAGATATGAAAAATAAAGAAAAAGATAACATCCATGTTGTCAAAATAATTTTTACATAAATCCTTGATGTTTCATAAAAAAACAAGTAATAAAATCCATTGAATGGAAGCTTCATATGTAACAAAATATTAAATTATTATTTGTTCTCAAAAGTCCCATCACACTCATAATACATTATGACAAGTGATGTAGGACAAAAAAAAAAAAAACTCAGCCACTGTTATGCCGGACATAAGGTAAGAGAGAAGTGTACAGATTATCGATAGGAAGATCCAAATGCTGACGCGGATCATCTTCCGGATCGTGGGACGGCTGGTGCTGCAGGGCGGCGGGGGAGGGGGCGGCGGCGGCGGGGACGATGACGACAGGAAGATATCCATCACCCTCCCCACCTACCCGCCCGACCAGCTCGACGATGAGGACGAGGATGAGGACGCCACGGCCACCCCCGTCGACGGCTCCACCGACCCGACCACCAACGCGGTAACTACTGCAACAGTTTCCTCTCTCGAGGCTCTGGAGTACAGGAAGCGACGTGTCGTGCCGATCGGCGATCTCTTTGTACAGATCTAGATAGCAGCAGAACTAAAGCCCGTCGCGGGAAAAGATCGCAGATTGGCGCGATAGATCGCATTCTGTCTGCCTGAGTCTTAAGTATCAGCGCAGTCCTATTCATAACTTCATATCGTCATAAAAAAAAAAAATATCATGATGGTGGAGAAATTATCGATTGTTGATTCTTATAAGAAACGTTGGTTAGGTATTGCAGTCTTTAGGAATACACAAAAATAAATTATATTTATTTTCTTGCCGATGCAGCTCTGATGGAAGCCTGAAAGTTAGGCCGAAACCTCTTTACAAAGAAAATAAATATAATTTATTTAATGTACTTCCAATAAACGCGATTCCCAACCAAATTCTATTATAAAAAAATATATATCAATAGTAACATTATTTTTAATTAAATTAATATCCCTACTGTAAATCATTGTTTTTATCGAGGAGGCGTGTTTCTGTTCCAACAATATATCGATAGTTAAGAAGCGATACCTCGTAATTGTCTAAAAATCAAATTTACTATTTTGAAGTCATTAATTTCATGGAACTGGTCGCTATTAGCTGGCGAAACCTCATATTTGTTGGTGAGACCGATAAGTAGCTAAGATGGGACTTAAAAATGTCAAAAAAATCAATTAATGTTGAGCCAATTTTGCTATGTAAAGGCTGTTAACCTGGAATTGTGTAAGAAGGCAGCAATCTTGGAGTTAATAGTCATTATTTAAAATTTGGCTAATGGCGTCTAGCTAAAGCAAAGAAAAAAAGATCTTGCAGTTTAATTCGTGACGTCTATCATCACCAATAGAGAACAGTCGAAAAATAGAAAAACAACTATTGTATTTTGATGTATTGATATATTTTTTATCAAAAAAACTTGACCATTTTTAGGCCACAACAGTAAAATAGTGGTATTGGAGATTCGAGGTATCACTTTTTAACCGTCGATATTTCTTTAGCTATTTATCAAGAGCTTTCATGTAAGAGCATGATTTAATAAGAATTTTTAAAAAATAGAAAGCTCTAAAGTAAATTCATATTATACATGAAAGACGTATGAACTTATGAAAAAGACTAGAAAAGCAATCTTCAGCTGATACTAACTTGAAGGAGACCAATTACCTTGTTGATGTGTGTATATATTTAACTAGAACAGATTACAGTTTCCTACATTTGCTAATTTTGTAATCCTTTCAATAAAGTCAACAAGATAGTTTTCTCCTATAAATGGTATAATGTTTAAACAATGAATATTTCATAAGGAAATATTTTCTAAATTTAACAATCCTTCATATGAAAGTACAAAATAATAACCATATACCCCTCTCTCTATTGATCAAGAAGGTCTTTCACCATTGTCAAGGTTTCTTCCAACATAGGCAAAACATAATTCTTCAGTTTTTCTCTTTATTTAATTCTTGAAGTCTCTTTATGCCCTTCTGCCATTCTGACTACCTCTTGACTCCAAATGTCATTATATTCTATTTTATTCTCCATATTGCTATTCTTGTAACCCTAATGGCATTTTATTTTCTTAAAACATTGTTAATGGCCCTGTAAGACTATAGATCTTAGAAAACTTAATCAATACAATGCGAAATAGATCCATTTCAACAAAATTGTTTCAAACCTTGCTACCCTTATAAGGTCAGTGGCAACATAGAGCAGTTGAGAAAAAAAAATCAACAAAACATACACTTATAATCATTTAAAACGCAATAGAGATGGCCGTTTCTGTTATTTCTAAAATAGAATAACGCTCTAAACATTAAGGATTTGTTATTCTCATTTTTTTCCCATCTTGATTTGCTCTTGAGTTGTTGGATTTTATGCATGGTGCATATGTTAAAATTTGCAGACGGCTTATGTCCAGAGCCGTCGCCTTGTATGTATTATGGGCTCCCTGGGCGAGATTTTACAGGGCGTCCCTCCCTCAACTCTATCTTAAATCTGCTAATATCCTATTACCCCATTTTTAAATAGAAAAAGAGGAATAATAATAACATAGATTTAGCTAATTTCAAAGGATTAACTATCCTTGCTACCAATCGCTGTCTACATACTCCTATCCACCGGCCACCGTCCAAACCTAAGCCCACACGATTAGCCTTAAGGCAAACCCATTAATTATTATTATTAATTTTTCATCAGTTATAATTACAAAAACGATAATGGCTTTCATCAATATTTCCAAGTCCTTTTTGATTTTTTTAAGGTTTTCAAAATGAGATTAAATTTCTAGACTAATTGTAATTGAAATGTCTTTCTTGAACTATTAGTATTATTAAAAATGAAATTATTTTCATATGAAGGAATAGAGAAATATACCTAGATATATAATTAATAAATTCACTATTCATATAGACAAAATTAGAAAACATTTAACTAACCTGAGCATGTGTTTTCCTTTGAATCTCATATACTTTTATGACTCTATGGGATATCTATTGTATTGTTCTGTTTTCAACTGTTTATAAAACAAACATGTATGTAATACACTGGCATTTTCACAGCACTTTAATTGTAAAATTAGTGATCAGATCCTTTAAGAAATTTTTAAAATGCATGACAATTATATCACATATGCATGATATAATCATCATTATACATTTTTAACTATTAAATAGATAAAATTAGGTTTATAATTTGTTTTTTAAATAAAAAGCATGAAAATACATTTACTAAATTCAACAAATGTTTGTTGGGATCGGTCAAGGTGCAAAAATAAAAACCTTCATTTTGTGTTTTTTCTTTTTTGTAATTTCAACCCACCAACATCGCACAAGCCAATTTTTTACATTAAATATGAAATGAAACGAAGTAAGATTACAAAACTTTTTTATTAGGAAGTACATTTATTTTGGCGGCTAAGAAACTAAAAATAACCAATTAGATAAACAAATTTTGTTCTTAAATAAATAAGAATAAAGAAAAAAATCTACTTCAAAAGTACAAGTACAAAAAATAGATGTTCTAAGAGGTATTTTCACGAACCAACAGAAATTTGGCATAATGATATGTTAAGTGATTCACGTAATTTAATATATATTTATGGAAGCGACAGAAGGAAGTATTCATAGCTAAAAAATGAAGATTTTTTTATTGAAAAATGAAGTTTTTTTGGGGGATACATCTGGTTTTTACAAAGTTGGAAAACTTGTTCTGATTAACAATATTTTAATGTAAACGGTCGTTTAAACAATTTTCGTAATAATCTAAAAAATAACTATCAAGAATTATGGGTATAATTCATAGATTCATTCGAAGAATTCATAGATATTTTAACAAGGTAACGATCCTAAGCTAATTTGAAACATAAGGCCAAAGTGGCAATAAGCAGGTCTTGTAAAATACATCCAGAAGTTAAAATATTAATGTAATTGGTAATTCATAGTACATTCTACAGAGTAGAATCTTCAAGTATAGTATTGCCTCTTAAAAAACACTTAACAGACGTTTTGCTCGAATAGAGATGTGACGGTTTTCAAATATCTTATTTTTGTTAGCAAAAATCAATGCGCCGTCATGTTGTTGATGTAAATAGATAATAAAAAACACTGTTCAATAAAATAAATAATTTTATTACTAAAAGAAAAACATGTGTAAATACTTTTGAAACAAACTTTTTTTTATATATTTATTTATAAAGGGAATTATTTTTTAACTGTTAATTGTTAGTTTAATATGTGCCTAAATAAAAGAAGATTCCATCAAAAAAGTTTTGTAATGATATTTTATTCCAATTTAAACTTAAAAGTAAAATTTGGGTTGGACAAATACTTTTGCCCAATGTTTACTACTCGATATTGGATACCGCGTATGGTATACTTGCTTAAACAGAATTGACAATGATTATAAATTAAATGATGTGTTATTAGTTAGCAGTTCTACAAGAAAAAATTGTATTTATCTATCATTTGCCAGAAAGAAAATATGATTTTGTCCCTCTCTCCAAACATTATCTCGTTATTTAAATTTAGGAAATAGTACCAACTAAAAAATAAAAGCGAATTAGAATATAAACTTTTTTTTTAATATCACAAAAAAACACAATAAATATAAAAATTGTCAATATAAGGATCTGATCACCTCCATTTTTCATTAATTTCCATCTACTTTGGGAAAGGCTGATCATATTGTTATACATATTTTTTATCTTTTTTCAAACCTAATGGAAAGATATTGGTTGGATACTTTAACAATATTTTATAATTTTATAATTTAAAATTTTAATTTTGACTATTATTATTTTTCTGTCAGGGGAAAATTGTTTAAATATCATTTAAAACCAATATTTTTTCGAGGATTACATTTTAATTAATCTTTCATCATCCATGCAATATAAGCTAATGTGCACTTTTTAATTTCAAGGCAGATAATTCTTGCATAGTTAAATTTATGATTTACCTAATTAAAATTTAATTATTTAACTTTAAATTACTGCAATAATTTTTTTTTTTTTACTTCTATTAAGTATATTTAAAGTTTTATGTAAAATTTATTTTTAAAACTATCCAGAATGTTTTATCTGTCTTAAAATGCATGTGAATTTAAATAATATGTTTGTTCATGTAATGATTGAATGTGGCATGACATCATTGTAAACCCCATAAGCCTGTCAGCATGTCAGCCAAACAGTATTTATTAATGCTACTCAGGAAATAATAGAATAGAGGAGACATTATTTAAGTGAAACTTCTCTAGTCGCTTTGGGGTAAGCTTTTCAAGGATATTACGAAATTAACTAAGGAATGCCATGTGAAATGTAAGGTTTCTTTCACCTGCGTTGAAAATATCTACCAAAACGGATTTCTAAAGTTAGTCTTATTTAAATTCTTGTAGAGTAATATGCGGTAAATTGTGATACAAGTTTTATATTTTTACTGTTTCTATTTTTTTTATTTATTTTTTTTATTTTTTTTTTTTTGTATGTGAGATATTTACAGTAATATTTTCACTTCGGATAAAAATAAATATAATTTTCAAAAGCTACGGTTGTTTGTTTCCTCTAATATTATTCAACTTGAAAGAAAATTTGTCTAAAAATAAAAATGATATTAAGTAAATATTGTAATAACTATTAGTATAAGCTGCATAGAGAGATGTTCCATGCCTTTTAGATTTCATAAGTGATCGTATTCTTTCAACACAGTGTTGCCCGGTCAGTGGTGTATTTTTCTCCTAAACTGTCCCTAAATTCATATTTTTTTAGTTTATTCTTATTTTTATGAAACCAAAACAAACCCGTAATGATAGATTATAAAAATTCGACCTTAATTAAATTGTACTTATTGGTGAAAAAAAAATGAAGTATTTTCAAGGCATTTTTTTTTTCTAATCATTCTAATTTTGATTTTATAATCAAGTAAAAATAGCATATGCATTTAGTTGTAGTGAATGCATGGGACAAATATAAACTTTAAAAATACAATAATACGAAAACTTTTTCGTCCTAAAAAAAAAATTAAAAGTATTGGACAAACCCTACCTGATGGCAACACTGCTGCAGCCACAAACTATCGTAAATGGTCTTAAAATTTATAAATTTGAAAAACCACGTTTTTGTTTATTCATTTGCATTTTTTTGGAGTTCTTGGAAATAAGCCCCTTACTCGTTTTCCACATACAAGGGATTTTTTTGTTGTTTTTTTTTTTGGTGGGGGGGATAAAAATAGATCCACCCTAGTGCGCCATTGCGCGTATTAAAAGATATAGATGCTGATGCATATTTAAAGTACAATAAACACAGTATATTTTTAACATCAATCAAACCACCTGCAATAAAAGAAGTTATGGAAATAAATGAAATAGGAAAAAAAACCATTTGAATTTTTAAATAAAAATAGACAAAGAGGGAACCAATTCATATATTGTTGAGCATATTACAGTGGCAGAGGAGTTTCACTTTAAGCAAAATACACTTTTTTTCGTTGTTTGTTTTTAATTTTTAAAATAATGTATGTTCACATTAAGTTTTAATCAGAAGTGGGTTTGTTGTTTCCGTCCATATTAAGGGCAGAACTTTCCAGTCGCTTCTTTTTCCACAAGCAATCATTGCTTTATAGTTAAAACTAAGTAGAATTTAATTTATCTGCGCTTAATTGAGCTGTTTTTATGCTTCCAAACTCTTTTTAATCTAAAAATAAAACTTCACTCGAATTTTGTGCTAGCTACAACTTAGCTGGTTGTGCGTAAATCGGCCACTAGGTTTACTTGACTATTTCAATATTTATATAACAATTTTAGGCTGGTCTGGTTTCAGGCTCATGGGGGAATACAGAAAAGGTTAAAAACCTTACATAAAAGGAAACCATGTTAAACATTACCATTTGAGTGCTCCGGTTGTCGCTATATATTCTGTAACCTTAATATTGCCACTTTCACTAACTGAAATGGACCATCACTACCCATGTTTCTTTTCTTATGCTTGTATTATAAAAATATTGTGAAGGTTGCTTTCATTGCTAGCCCCTTGCTTTACTAATGTGATTTTTCCAATTTGCTTTTGTCTTTTAAATGTATAATTGGTTATTTGCTTTGGCTGTAAAGTGTAGACATGGGGCTGGCATGAGGTGGCTTCTAAAATAGCAAAATAATAATTTTCCATACTGTATTTGTTATAATATATATTATGTAACACACATAATTATATATAGAAAAAAATAAGAACAGGTGATGTTTTTAAATTAAGTATTAATATTATCTCTATAACTGAATAGATGATTTCAAGGGCATAGCCAGTTAAAAACAAAAACGCAGGTGGGTGCCACTCACACGATAGAAGTGAAAACATTAACAAGACGAGATTCATAATATGAAACATAAATTGTAAATAATAATTCATTATAAACAGGATGAAATGCTGAGCATTTCCCTCGCTTATAGTATGCAGGTCAGATTTTTAGTTTCTGAGATATTTTAATCCACATCTTCCATAAAACTCGTTATCATTTGGTTTTCGATAATATTTTTTTCCCTTTTCGCCTCCCTAACACGAGGTCACGTTAAGATACAATTTTAAGTAATAGCTCATTACAAAGAGGATGAAATGATGAACATCTCCCTCACTAACAATATGCAGGTCTGATTTTCAATGTTTGTGATATTTTAATCTATATTCAAAAATACTTCAATTAGTCGACTCCAGCCGACTTTCCCCGAACGTTATACATCGTAGATCTGACGGCTCAATCTAATACACTCTCCACAAAAAAAACACACAAAAAAAACAGTACAAACGCGCCTACAGAAGTTTTTTAATTTAATCTTTCAAGTAGACTGTCAACCAACATTTCAGAAATTTGTTGTTATTTTATTTTGCTTTGCTTGGCTATGCCCATGGATGACGTGATAACAATTATATATTGACAGAGGATTTATTTACCAATATATTATATTTAGCATATCAATTAATTCAACTTAATAATCCATTAATTAAATTATTTGCTAATTTAGTTAATATTTGTGAATTCACTATTTAATAGGAAATTGTGGTAATCAAAGCTTTCAATCACATCAAAATCACAATAGTTTTCATATCAGCACACAAGCACACAACTCTCTACATGTGAAAGCTTTGAAGACTTCATAATATGTAATTTTAGCACAGAATATTTGAACCACGTTGTTCCCATAATCATCACACCGTAACTTAACGAAACGAAATCTTAGTTATATTACTAAAGAGTTCAAAATTAATTTCTTAGTCAGTATGTCATATTTAATTTTATGATTTTGTTTTTCTAATATCTATTTAGAACTCAAAGCTTTATTGACAAATCCAGTTTTTTATTATTTTATTATCATATAAGAAAACATAAATAAACTAGTTCTAAGCTAATCAGGATAGCATGAAAGGTCACGATTTTTGATACAGAAAAATGATTTTAAAGAGCCATTATAGTCGCAGAAATAAAAAAAAAAAGAATTGTATAGCCGAATTCTGGTCCATTCAGGCGTTAACAGAACATGGTAAATTAGTGAAAATGGACAAGGGTGTACTTCTGAAAAAATATATGATAATTAAAGGAACCTTTCGTATAATAACAGGCATAAATAAGTCAATCATGATCCACAACAACTGTAGAAAAAAAATGAAAAACAATAATTACTTGAAGAATGGACGTCCATAGCTAAAACATCTCCTGACGACCGTATATGTCATGCTGTCTTTAAGCATATTAAATGTTATTTGAGAAGTAGACCCTAACAAATTCTGTCTATCTAATGGTGATGCTTCAATTAGCGAATATTTAGATACATAATTTTTTTTTAATTCTGGGACACTGGCTTTTCTATCTTTATTTTTTTTTATTTCCTAGCTTTATGCTTTATAGAAAAACATAACTTCTTCAATTAAACTTCACTAAACATATATTTTTTTTTTTAAATATTAAATATTGTTTAGGGTTTTAAAAGGATATTTTTAAAAATATACGACTATATTTTGTTTAATTTTAAATAATTTAATATAGGATTCAGAAAATACAGTAAACGATAATAGAAAAAGAGAAGTAAGGTCAAAAAGGAGTCCTGATGAACAAGCTGAAGAGGAAGAAGAAGATCTTGAACCCGATGCTACAGGAGGTAAGAAAACTATAGGAAATGTACAAGTTTCAATATGACGGAATAGTGTATTGATTTTGTTGTCTGTAAATCAGTTTGACGAAACTCACAAAAGACAATTTGGATGAATGCAATAAATTGCAACTGCGTCTTTATTTAGTTACTGTCTAGGTCGCCAAATATAATATTACGTCTATGTGACAGTTTTGGCTAACAACAGATAAATTTAACGATTTATTAATTATTTATAACAATTGACTAAAATTTTTAAATTTCACTCCTTAAATTAGGTTTTGTATATTCAAACACAGATATAAATGACACTTGTTAAAACGATATAACCTTGTCACTGATAAAATTTCATAACTAATTTTCTATTTAATTCACGAACTAACTTTGAACAGAACCGAATATAAATTTACAAAACAAACTACCATTAACTAATTGTACTGTACTGGACCTTCTGACTACTAAGTGGACTGGGAGCTAGGTCTGATCTACATACAGGGTGTCCCAGGAGGAAACATCAGTAATTAAGAAAGTGATAGCCAACATAAAATATAATACTATATTTTTTATTTTTATATTTGTGTTTTATACAACTTAAGGAGTCATATCCCCAACACCCAAAAGCCATGCTTTCCATGCTTTCCTCCACGTCCTCTATCCATTTCTATAATACTGGAATAATTTACAGTAGCCCTCCCAAACAAGGACTTTTGAACAAGTATTTAGATTAGCATGCCTAGTTTGTAAAAACTGGTTTTTAAGACCTCTAGATGTAACAGTAAAGTACCTAAAAATAATCCATTGCAGCCCATAGTACAGTAGTGTCCATTTAAATTCACCTTTATTGGGTAAGAATTTATTTTGTGGTGAACCCATGGGATGGATCTGTACCTTCTCAATCTGGTTAAGACAGATTGGTTACCAGTAGGAAAACACTCTCCTCCTCCCTTCTTTGCATGGTTCTTCTTCTTGAAATGGTTAGGTAGCAGAAAAAATAAAAAACAAAATGCTTGGAATGGCTTTACTATGAAGCTAGAAATTATTTTCCTATGAAATTAAAAATTGTTTTTGGAAGTTCAAAACAGAAAGATGACCCTAATTTTGGAGTGGATCCTGAGGTGTAAAGTTATCTGATTCTATGATACTTGGGAAAAAAAATCGTTTTCAAGGCAATTTTATAATCAAACCAACAAAATGAATTTGTAACAAAAATTCTTCTATTTTTTCTAATATGTGTCTTAAAAAGAGTAAAAACTATTGCCGTCCTTAAAAATTTGGTGACCCTAAACAATGAAGTTTCCTTCAAAAATAAATTTAATTTACTTCATCAATTGATTTATATTAAGTAATATATTTGAACTTAATTCCATTCAATATGTCTCTAATTCAGTTGCATTATTAACAGATTAAAATTAATTATTATCATATTCTTTGTAACATTTTTTATTTATTCCTAACAAGGACGGCCCCATCCAGGTCAGTGCCCAAGGGCAATTGACAGAGAAGCCTGGCCCTAAGGCCAGCACTGGTGAAAACTATACTCTTTCAGACTATATACTATTGTTTGTTTTAAAAATTATGCTTCCAGTAACAAATATAAACTTTTATGTACATTCATTAAAAAAGTGGCATTAATATTTTATTTTTATGAACATGTAATAGATAATGAAGTTGCCTCTGACAATGAAGCAGAAAGTGATGGGGAAGCTGTTGATGAAGAAGACCCACGTAATAAAAGGTTTCTGAACTTTAACCTCGGTGCTTCTGGAGATGCTGCAGGAGGTTCTGGAGGCGGGTCTGGCAACTTTCTTTTTGATATCATCAGGGTGAGTTGTAATCACAAATATTTGTTACTTGTATTTTATTTGTTACTACTGCTTTTATTTATTTATGTTTTTTAAGTATAGATTTTTCATTGGCTTATATAATAATATATATGTATATGTTTTTTTTTTACTTTTTTATTTCTTTTCCACAACTTAAAAAACACTTACAATTTATAGTGTTTTTATTTCTGTTTTTGAACATTGTTGAACACTTCACCAATTGGTGTTGTTGAATGTTTAAGCTATGCTTTGTCCCTTCTTCAGCATCTAATGTACCTCAGTATTGGTACATTTAAGTTATTACAAGTGTTTGTTTCCTTAAATTTGACAAACAGAAAACGTTGTGGAGATCAAATAAAAATTAATGAAGAAAGGTCCAGAGTATGAACTAATATATATTTTTAATAAATTGAAGTGGTAGTCATAAAAAGATTTAAATTCAAAGACTATCGACAAATGTAACATGCTAAATACAAGGTTCTTCAAATAGCATAAACGAAAAGAAATTTTTAGCATAAATATTTAATTTGATTTATACCACTCAGTTTATATGACTTCGAAGAATGTGTCAAATCTAAAATATGTGTGCATTTTACAAATAATGAAAATTGATGGCTTCCTTTGGTGGAATCCATTTTCTGAACAATCCTATTTTAAAGTTAAAATGTATTTAATAATGATTTCTACTTACAGTGTAGCAGAAGATCTAGTTAATTTGAAGTGTATAACAGAAAATAAAACTCTAATATTACTTATATATATTAAAAATGTAAATAAAATACAAAGATTAATCTATAGGTCATATAAACATGGATGTATGTTGAAACTAAATTTATTAGACTAATTTATTATAACTTTAAATCATTTTATTTTTAAAGATTACTTGAGTGCTTATACGATGGTTCCTTTTTAAATAGTTGCCACTAAGTTAGAGCTTTTATTTTTTGTTCTACCAAAATAAGTTCTCTCAGCAGTGTAACATCTTCACGCTTTCAAAAAAAAAAAACCAACTATGTAACAAATTCCTGCTGTTTAACAGCATATCGGTTTAACAACAAAAATTGAATCTGTGTCTTAACCGACAGTAACAGTCCTGTGGGATATTTAAAAATATTTCTAAGCAAATGAAACCTAAAATTTGACTGCCCTTATGTCTATAGAAAGATGGTAAAATAGGAGTCTACTGTATTAAAATTAATATTTTAAAATTGAAAATCTCCTAGAAAAATTAAATTTCATCAAAACAAACGGCAAAATAACTGATATAAAATCTCTTGCAATATATACTTATGTAATAACGTGAAAATTATTTAACTAAGAGAAGTTGCTTGTTGTAAGTTTATCTTGGATGATGAATAGTCAGGAATATCAGCCACTTTTCTGTATTTATAATTAGTATAATTAGGTTTCAATCCACACTTATGGATCATCATCAGGACTAAAATTAAATAAGAAATATAGATATGTGTGAAATGCAATGAAGACATAAATTAATAAAAGTAAATGATAAAAAATTAAATTAAATAAAAATTAGATGTCAAATATACAAGCACTAATTGATGTATGACTAATGATAAAATAAATGAGAACGGATAGAATGTGTATAAATCATAAATGAGTAACTAGTATAAATAATAGATCAACAACAAACCAAGTGAATATGAATTATATCTTTCTTCTTCTTCTTCCGGCACTACAACTGAGGAGTAGACATGGACAAATGCTATTCTGAGTACCAAGTACTAAGTATTTTATTCAAATTTAATCACTATCGAGAATTCGATCATTACTTCATTTAATCGTTTGACATCAACTCAAATAGTAATTAAATTCTTTGATGCTCAAAAAAAGTCAGTAATTGAGTAAAATTCTTGGTACTCAGTACTCAGAATAGCATTTGCCCATCTCTGCTTAGTGGTGAGTAAAGGCCTCCCTAAACTTCAACTGCCAGTCCTCTCGGTTCGCTGCAATTGCCTAGCAGCATTATATCTTTCCCATTTAATTTATCTTTAATTAATTTTTATTATTTATCTTTTGCTTTTTGTTATTTACTTCTGCCTTTGTTCTGTACATATACCTATATCTTTTGTGTATCTGATTACACTTTAGTGTTTATGATGACCTACAAGCTTGGGTTGAAATATTGACACACAATCAAAAACTGACTAATATCCTTGACAATTTATCATCCATGATAGAAGATAATTAATCAAGAAATAACTTATATTAAATATTAGGGAATGTACAAATTTCCCAAATTATTTGTATTATTTCTCTATAAATGATGATATTAGTATAGAGGAGTAAATGTTTGATATATAGAATAAGTTTCAGTTTGCATAGAGATCAGCTGATCGAGCAGCTAGGATGGCTGGGACTGTGTTCCGAGTCCTGGCGGGAACTGACAACGCTGGGCTTCCTACTTACGACCATCAGAGATCGGTATTTATTTTTGAATCCATTGTCTCTTCTTCGGGGACCCATCATTGGCCTATACCTATGTAATCTCAAACTATATGTTTTATAGAACAATATTCATCATTACTATAATGTTGCTAATAAAAAATTGGTTGGAAATATTGAAAGTTTATTAAATTAATTTTCTGTGTAACTTATTTTAAAATGAAATTATTGTATACTATGATTTTTGAGAAGTAAAGGTATGGGTTCTGTTGGGGTTTCCCTTTGAACGCTACAAGTGTTGGCCCTATCTTCCATGGTCTTGAACACCTAAGACAGACTGGACACTGTATATAAAACACACAATTCTCTTAGTACAACCTTCTAGCAGTTTCATGTTCATTGCTAATGAAATACTTATTAATACAACTCTTCTAAAGAATTGTATTATTCTTATTTTTCTTCTGAATAATGGAAATGAATAAAATAAAAATTACTTTGATGGATAACCATCAAGAAAGAGAAATAGTTTTATGTACATGCTTTTGAAATTTCAATTTATTTTTCTAATAGTAAAAGGAAAATATTTTTTTTTTTTTTAATTCAAAGTCAAGTTTTCAAACATTACTTAAATACTTTTAGTATTCATAAACCACTCGGTTGATTATACTTATAAATCATTTTATATTTATAATTATCTAACATTTTTATAAACATTTACAATGATTGTGATAAACCAATATATTTCTTGTTCACATTCTTTATTTTCTAAGATAAAGTAACTACATATTGGTGTTCGTAATAAGTCTAGGGTTTTAATTAATTTTTATTCAATTATTGATCTGATTTTAGAGAAGGTTGTATTAAAGAGAATAACTAACCTCTCCTGCGAATGTAAATAATGCTTGCTGAATAACATAATATGCAATGCACAAGATTGCAACTTATTTTTAAATACATATGTTTAAATTTAAACAGCTACGTAATTATTTTTCAAGAATCGATACCATAAGAAATCGTAAGCACTGTTGTTACAAAAAGATTATAATTTCAAATCAATGGAGTTCAAATTCAAATGAAGTCTACATTAATTTGCTAAAGAAAGTACTTTGGAACTAATGGATATAAAATTAATGGCTTGTAAATTATCTATTGAAAATTAATTAGATCTGTAAATATAATTTTTATCTTTGATTTTGGAACAAAGTGGTTTTTAATTTAAAAAAAAACATTTCAAATTAGATCCATAATTTCATAAACATATAATTAATATTGCTAACTTTTTTATTTCGAATTTTGATTAAGGGTTTGTTTTTTGGACAAGTTCCTAGATAAAACTAGACCTAAACATAAGTAAATGTAATGAAAGCTCATTGATTTTTTTTTTTTTATATAAATTATTAGGAAACCTGAAATTTAACCTTTTTATTTATTTATTTTTTATTTAAAAAGTATTGTTCTGATCGATTATGGTGATATAATAATAGTTTTTAGACATTTTAGAAGAGTTAAGAACTATTTATACGGTAATATAGTAATATTGCTAAATGGCTAAATGGTGAAGCCTTGAGTTGTTCCTTTTATCACCAAAAATCTAAATTTCATCAGTATGGCAAAAAAAAAAATCTTGTTCCACTGTTATTAATATCTTATTAACAAATATTTCTATTAATAATACAGGAACCTAAATCAGTCAGTCTGATTAATAATAACTGCCATGAAAAAGAACCCAAAGTTTTTGCTCTTCATATTCTTATCAGTACTTATACATATTTCACCATTCCCACATACCAATCTTTTTGTTAATTAATTTTTGTTTCCAACTCTTCTCCCAGCACTACTTTTAGAGGTCTTCTTTATTATGTCTTTATTTGTTTGTAAATTTATTTTATATACTTTTAATTAATTGGCTTTACCAGTACCTATATCAGTTATTTTCTCATGTTAATTCCTGAATTTATTGGGAAGCCATCAGGGATATCATAATGAGGAGAAGGGGGGCAGAGAGGAGGATATCATTCCTTCTAATAATTTGAAAACCCAAAAATTTGAGAGATTTGAGAATCTATCAATGGTATTTCAAACAGTGAAAATTGTGGAACAACATTTTACTCAAAATGTTACTAAAATTGAATATAAATACTTTGTATGTAGGGAAATTGTGATGTTAACAATATAGTGTGACTGTGTGAGCCTTAGAAATTTATCACCACCCATATCATTTCTCTACCACCTCCCAAAAAAAAAAATTATTTCTTAAGCTGTTTTATATTAAGTAATATTCGCATTGTATTTCATTCAATATGTCACTAATTCATTCACTTTAGTATAGACTAAAATTAAATATTCTTGTAATTTTTTTTATTCCCAATAAGTGGTGCCCCTGGGCATATGTCCATGTTGCCCAGTCCTAAGGCCAGAGAGTGTTGGGTTTGATTTGATTGATTGGGTTGGGTTTGGTTTCCCCCACTGAATGTTGGGTTTGAATAGAAAAGAAAATTGTTGTTGTTAAGTATCAACATTCACAACAGCCAAGTGAAAAGTTCAAATCCAAAATAATTGGGGGAAATTAAAATATTTGTGATCCATTTTTTTTTTTT